AGTTGCCCTCGGAAGTTGTGGGAGGGTCATCCCTGGAAGCTTTCAAGAAGAGATTGGACTTTCATCTGTCAGAAATGGTGTAGGGTCTCCTGCTTGGGCGGGGGGGCTGGACTAGATGACCCTTCCAAGTCTGATTATCTGTTTAATCTGGCCGAGATGGTTTGAGGGCAAAGAGAGATGTCTGATGCCAGCCTCCCCCCCCCCTAAATTTCAAGATTGCCCGATGTCCCAATTCCTCATATCCCTGGTATCCTCAGGGTGAGCCCCTCTGCCACCAGGAACAAAGACCAAGTAACCCCAACGAACCGACGTGCCCACGTGGCACAAGAGGAAAACATCGGAAGGGGAAAAGAACCAGACATTTTGTCCTAATGGGCAGAGATGGATTTGTAAGATGACAAAACAACACCCTCCACCACACCAATCCTGCGCAAAGAGGTCAACCTCACTAATGACTCGCAAAGCCTGCTGGGAACAAGAAGCACCTTCAGCCGGGAAGGAGAACAAGAGGAGGCCGCTATTGGCCATCAGCGCAACCACCAACGGAAAGCAGGGCAGAATAGAGAATAACCGCAGTTGGAAGGGACCTTGGAGATCTTCTAGTCCACCCCTGTGCTTGAGGCAGTCTTATTTTGTTTAGTGACCATTACAGCGGCCCTGAAAAATGCAACTTATGACCGTTTTTCACACTTACAACTGCTGCAGCGTCCCGTTGGTCACGTGATCAAATTTGGGATGCCATGCAACTGGTTCGTACTTATGACGGTCGCAATGCCCTGGGGTTATGTGATTGGCTTTTGCAATCGTCCGACAAGCAAAGTAAACATTAACTTAACAACTGTGGCAAGAAAGGTCATCAGATGAGGAAAAACTCACCGAACAAATGTCTCACTTGGCAACATAAAAGTTGAGCTCAATTGTGGCTGTAACTTGAGGTCTACTGTGATGACCCAAAGGGGCGTGGCCCAAAGGCAACACAGTCAAATAAGCAAAAAGTGTCCCTTTAATACCTCCAACTTTGCACCCAATGTCCAGGTTACCTTCAGCTGGAGAAAAAAACTCTCCCAAGAACAGTCTTGAAGTGGAGGAAATTCAGTCCGAAAACAAAGTACACACAAACAGCAAATAAAAATCCACACAAACCGCGCTGCAGTAATTAACTTGACAGGGCAGGAGAAAGAATTGCAGAC